ATGGGAAAACTCTTTGGATTATCTGGAATTGCTGTAATGTGGTGGGCTGCTTCTATGGTGGTTCTCATCTGTTTATTGCCACTCGACGACATCATGCACGCACGCCTGATCTGGACAATGATGAAGCTCCCGGTTTTGGCTCCCTTGGATGGCTTTTGGGGCAACCAGGGACGTCTGTTATTGCTGCAAATTCAAATCTATTTTCTGAGTCCAGGTCTCTATAGGCTCGGGAGCTCTTTTGGTGGAATTCGTTCTAGTCTCACTTCGTCAGTTTTGTTCTTTTTGGCAGAGTGGTTTTATATTTTGTTATTTACTCTCTATAGCTTAGGCTAGAAAATGTAATAGTTTTATTTTTTTTCTGCAGCTTTTTTCTAATGCTGTTAAGGTTTAGAGTCTGAAACTGCTAATGTGGTTTCGGCTTCTTTTCTTATTGTAATTTTTTCCTGAGTTAATGAAATGGGCTTTGGCCCCAATTTTCCCAAAAAAAAAAAAAATCATTTTGGATAATTTTTTATTATTAAAAAAAAATTATACTAAAAAATTGATCCAGAAAACAGTAAGCTATCTGTGCACTAACGAAGCCTTAGTAACAGCCCCATTTCAACTACAATTTTTTTTTCTATTAATATTCCCTTTCTTGTTTGGTTTTCTAATCCTCTAAATTTTTTTTTTCTACTTCATTCCTTTCTGCTTCTCTTATTCTTCCTTTTAGTTTTTCTATCTGTCATTTCTTTTTGTTGTTCTCTCTATAGTATCTGCACTAAATTCTTTCTCTTCTATAGGATTTCAAGAGCGGTTGATGGTGTGGGTTGTAGAACAGGGATTCAAATTAGTTTATACATTTATTTAACGAAGATTTGTAAATTGAAATGCTAATTATTCTACCTTTTTTTTCGATGGTATTTAGAAAGTTTTTTTTTTCTGAATTTTTTGTAATAATAAAGTTAAACATATATTTCATTAAGCTTGAATTGAGGATTAGCCATTTAGTAAACAAACCTTAAGGTTCTATGATATGAAGAATCAAAGTGAAGATTTTCGTCCGTCCCTAAATCCTAAACCTTAGATCATACCTAATATGTCACTAAAAAATCATCTTGTTTTTGCACGAATCCCGATGTAAATATAAATCGAAAGCTTCCAAACGTAAATTTTGGATTATCCAAAGTCCAATTCCAGCAAACTTTCTATTTTCAACCATTGTCAAACCTCTAATGAACTTCTCCCAACGACTACCACCAGATTTCGAGTATCTATCATTTAATCAAGATCATTTAACATTCAGCAGCACCATCTAAAGTTTGGCCAATTGTTCAATTTATTGTATTCTTAATATCCTCAAGTTAAGGGATTAATCGACCTTTATAATATGCTAAAACATAGTAGAATCTTTTCATTTGGGAAAGGCCTCGTAGTTTTTCCCCCTTTAAAATTTTCATGTAAAAATTTTGGTGTTCCTTTATCATTTAAATTATATGTTTGTGTGGTAAATTTTCCTTGATTGTGCTTTTTTTATTGGCGAGGGAGTTTTAACGGAATAAGTTCCGGAGTAAATTTTGGAAGGCAGATGAGTTTGTAGATAAGACACTACCAAGAGATTTCGCCCTCATTTTGTGAGGACTTTATGATCTGAGTTCTGGTTTCCTATAGGCACAAGCCCCTATAGTTAATTACCCCTCCCGATTACGAGAGAGAACTTTTGATTAAGGCTAGTTGTCAATCAGATACGTAGATATACGTGTTATCTGGCATATAGTAGTAGCATGGATTTGGATTTAGAAATTGTGTTTGAATTTGGGTATTTGGAAAGTTTGGAAAATTTAGAGATTGACAAATTTGATATTTAAAATAGAAACTTCACCATCTTGCACTTAAAGCAGATGGTGGAGGAATGGATGATAGACCTGATCAAGATCCCATGGTTCCGTCATCCCGGACCATCGTGGTCCTTGGTCTACTTAGTCAGAGGAGGTAGTTGACCCAACCTGATAGAAGGTTTCCTGTCGGCAGCCATGGGTTGCTTCGTCCAAGGGCACCATGTAGACCTCGGTTGGATATTTATTTAAGGGGACAAATTTGAATCCACCTTAGCTAACAGAGGGCTTTGTGCCCTATCAATCATATCCTATTGATTCATATCTCAAGGATTTGGTGCCACTAAGGAACGTATTGGCTCTGGCCATAACCGGTATATCGTGGTGTCATTTGGCGGCAAAACCACTCGGTTCAGAGGGCCCCGGGTCATAACCGTTTATCTTGCGGTGCCATTTGGCAGCAAAACTGCCAGTTAGAGGACACGTACGACGTCCTTACTGGCAGGAGATTTGTTTGAGAATGGATCCTAGTGATATTTTTGACTAGGCATTTGGCTCTTTGTGAGCTGAAGTAAACTTTAATTTGTACACCCCGGCAATCTGTTGCGGAGGGTGGAAGAAGTTTACTTTAAGTGTTTGATAGTTGGATTTCAATTTTAAATATTTTTGGAAATTTTTGGGATTTTTGCAGAGTTTAAATATTTGGAATGACATTTGAAATTATTTGTGAACCCCTCCGGTTGAGGTCTTCGTTCAACACGACCATCATCGGGGTGTTTGGGTGGGCCTTTTTGTTTGTAGCTTGAACCTTATCGACTATGTCTGTCTATTGATAGAGGATCGGGTTTCATAGGCTTTATGCCTATAAGAGTGAATTCTCTTAATTATAGGCCTTGAAGGCCTAATATGAATGTGTTAAAACAAATACATCGATCGCCATAACCATGTATTTGTTTGAAGGTTCGAACCCTGTCGACTCCCATTGATCCATATAAGAGGATCGGGTTCAAACTTGAATTCACTTATTGACCCGCACAGCATCCCTAGACGTCACATGTGTTTATACAACATGCTCGCTGGGGCCCATGCGGGTATTTGAGGGCATTTTATAATTGAGCACTGTCAACTCCTTTTATCTACTTAGAAGGATCGGGTTCAAATTTAATAACCCACTCAACATCCCTAGATGTCACATGTGTACCAATAACACACTCGCTGGGGCCCATGCAGATTCTATGATTACTTTTACCCCTTTTAGTGTACCTATGCGTATACAAACTACGGTTCACGTGCTGGGGTACTTTGAAATATTTGACGAGTTTTCTATGATAACTTGTATAGGTTCGTAGTCATATGTATCTGCTATGAATCCTCTATTTCTACTAGAAGAGAATAAATATATTTGTCGCTGCCTCTTTACAAGCTGTATAAGTATCCCAATTCTTGTGATAGGCTCCTTATACCCTTCTTGTAGATGGCATATCATGTGTATGATAGAACTTATACTTCTGCTTATAAGGACTTGCACTTATTTTGTATTATCCGCCTCTGCTTGCAGAAGACCTATGTACTTACTTGATACTGAGTGGTGATTAGTTGCAAGTGATTTCTCATTTCTGTTTGTATTGGTTAGAAGATGTTGTGTTTGCTGCCCTGTATTCATGGAGGATAGACCCTCTTTTAGTATCTCTGGTACTGTCATTTGTAGAGGCATTACTATATTTATCACTAACCATTTCATGCATGTTAGCTAGTGAACTATTGTAGTTTACAATCTCCTTGTAATCACTTGTAAGCACATTATTACTTGCACTATTCAAAGTAACTCATGATTTTCATAATAATTTGATTCATTGATGATTGTGCTTTGACCAGTCTAATGATCTTCATTTAAAGATCTTTATATTATTGCTCGTAGATTATCTAATTTGAATGTGACAAATCCCTTGGTGTCATATAAAGATAACTTGTGCCATGCATGATGAATTGGCTTCTCAATTGGAATGAGAGTTCTTTAATGCTCATTTAAGACTTTGTGTTGTTAAGCATGAGCATACTATTGCATTTCTCCATTTGACCCTTGCTTGAAAATATGTTGGTACAAGTTATGTTGAAAATTCACAAGTTCATGTTCATTCCATGCTCAAATTAAGCTAATGTGATTTGGGTCCTTCTTGTTGTTAAAACTCAAGTCCCACTTAGTTCAAAATTTGGACCCTTATTCATCACACATTCATTGCAAGTCCATCTCACTTGGTTCAAACAAAGTTCATTTTGAATCAAGCTTTGAATGAGGTCTTTTAATTAATCATTCACCTTTGTATTTAGTCAATTCAATTGTCCAAAGCAAGTCCAAATAAAGTCTGTTGTGATCTTGGCAAGTTCAAGTTCCAATTTAGATCATTTCTTGAGTAGCAAGCTCAAGTCATATGTCCCATGTTGTCCTTGCAAGTGCAATTTCATATCCAAATTGTTCAAGTCTTTGATTGCTTGAGTTTGATTTCATTTGTGTTTAATTCTTTTGTAGTTCATGTCATATTTGAGTCCTCTTTAATTTTTTCAAATTTGCAAGCTCATTTATTGAGTTAAGGTCCTTTGCATCGTTCAAATTAGTGTCCAAATAAAATTCAACATTTTTTTAAAGTCCTTGGATTTTCAATCCAAATTTTGGCAGCCTCCCGGCATCTCCCCTGTTTAGGGGAAAACCAAGAGGCAACATTCCCCTTGACTCTACGTGAGCGCTTTAGGTAGGTGTCAAAAGACATCGCAGTTGCAAATTATTAAAATCCTCATCCGCTATGTGAGCGTTTAAGGGTTTGGAGCACAAGTTAGAAAGAGCACAAATTTACCCCCTATGTACTACGTGAGCGTTTGGGATACTTAAAAAACATTTTTTTTTATCCCCTTCACCGCAAGCTCCACACTGGTTTCCCTTCCTATAATGTTACGTGAGCGCGTAGGGGGTTTGCCGGCTCGTTGTTAATATTGAAGAGGAATTCTTAAGTCGCCGCAAGCGTCGCGCCGGTTTCCCTCCCTACTACGCTACGTGAGAACATAGGGGGCTTGCCGGCCCGTTGCAAGCCACGAGAAAAGAATCATAGTAAAAAAAAAAAATTATACCTTTGCGTAAGGGTGGCAGTGGCATGTGGATCGAGACAAGAGCATATCTAATTCATAACTAATTACAAATTATATAATTAATTATATTTGACATATAATTAACTATATTCAATTCCTAATTAATTATAAATTAAATATATATGATTTATAATTAATTATAAAATAATTATAATTAATACATAATTAATTATATTTAATTTTAAATTAATTTTAAATTCATTAGATTATTTTACAATTTAGTTAAAAAATAATAATTAATTATATTTAATCTATTATTAATTATTTTTATTTTAAAATTAATAATAACTTAATTAGATTTAATTTATGATTAATTAAAAATAATTATAATTATTTATATTTTAATATATAATTAATTATAATTAAATTATTTTAATTTATAATTTATGATAAATTAAATATAATTAATTATAGATCAAAAATATTAAATTAGATTAAACCTAATCTTATTAAACAGAGAGTTTCACTCTCTTAAACTCTCTGTTTAAGAGACTT